CAAGATCCCAAGAACCCATGAGAAGAAGATGACCAAATAGAATATCTGGAGATAAACACACCTGAATTAGGAGCAAGGTATACATTTTCCAATTAGTTCCTTCCTCCATTTTCTTCTGACAATATTCCTGTCACTTATTGTGTGACATAGGTAGTCATGCTGAAAACAGAAGACTGAACTGTCAGAGGGGATTCTGTGATGTGAACAGTGACAGAGAGTATTTAAATATTTGAAAAGTTTGCTCCTGAGACCTAAAATTGGGAGACCATATTTCTGACTCCAAGTGCCTGCAGGCTTCATGTAGTCATTGAAATATTCTAATATTTTGGAATCTAGACTAATCACCACCTTCTCTGTGTTAGTCTGGGCCTCCTCAGAGCCCATAACTGCTTTTGTGGGAAGAGATCCTGCTAATTTAACATAGTTGAGTTAGTTGGAGGTTGGTGATAAAAAGAGCAAAGCTAAGGGTTGAATTATCCACTAACTGGTTAGCTTTGATATCATCTAGGCCTGAAATTAAAAAACAAAAATTCTCAAGAGAGAAAAAGCAAGTGAGTATGGTGGCTATTTCAGTAGCCATGCCCTTCTCTCTCTGTGGTTGGACAATGTTCCAAAGTACATGTTCAATAGTAATATCTAGCATGTATGTTATTGCCCTCTTCAGTTCAAGGAATACTTTCTGAATGTCAGTTATGGGACAGGAGATGAATTACATGTAGACAATATAAATGATGAAAAGCCATAGACTCTGCATAGGATAATAGTTATACCAGTATTGTTTTATTTCCTAAATGGGGTGGTAGGTACTTAATCTTTTTTTTTCATATTTATGGGTTATTTAATGACATCAAACTAACCAACAACAGACAACATAGTCTTTGCCTTTCATAAATTTACAATCTTATTTCAATACAATGATGGTATATGCAGCCATTGAGTGCTGTAGGAACATGGAGAGTACTCATTCCTAGAAGTGGCAGTGGATCAGTGAGGATTTCCAGGAGAGGCAGAAACCAAGGTACATCTTCTACTACAGGTGGAAGTTAATCCAGACAAAGAAGGAGAAGGGCACGAGGTTCAAAAAGAAGAGTGTAATAATCAGGATATCAGAAAATAACTTAGCATGTTACCTCAAGGAGCTAGAAATTACTAGATTATAATGGGGGAAATGAGGCTAGCAACAAGGGAAGGAAACAAGTCAAAAGAGCTTGGACTTTATTGTGCATCCATTTGGGAATCAATAAAAGAATTATTGTTAGATAGATCCTTTTGAAAGCAGTAAGGGGAATGGATTGAAGCAGTGGGAAGTAGGGAGATGAGTTAAGGAGTATCTTGCATTTGTCAAAGCACAAGATGGCAAGATCAAAGGTAGTCAAGATAGAGAAGTTATAGATTCAGAAATGATTAGGGGAAAAATTGGTGGCAATTGATTATGTCTTTAAGGTGGTAAGGGAGAGGTTAGCAATGCAGCGGAATCCACAGAGACACAGAGTCTTGAATGACTTGACTTTAGAACCACAACAAGGAAAAAGAAACAACTTAATACCACAAGAGGAAAAGATAAGGCTGATTACTCAAGTGTCTGTTTGTAGTTCCCTCTGGGAATTTCTGTTTTGCAGCTGGAGAACCAAACAAATGCTAGTTTAAAGTTCTACTACCTGTGGTTTGAGGACACATCTGGAGATCCAGTAAGTCCTCAAAGTATGTCCAAGAGGTTTACTGCATGCTTTATGACTGCTTTTTTTTGCACCAAACTTTATTTTTATTCATTGTAGGGAAAACTGGCCAGTATTTAGTTTATATAACACGGCATAGATGACTCATTGGGAAATCCAGTTCCAGATGCTCATCAGGAGAGAACAATACAATGCCAAGTCTTCTATAAATATCTCCAGACTCTGCATTCTCATATGATGTGTGCAGAACACTAACATTTCAATCCTGGATCTAATCCTAAAGCACCTGGAACATGAAGTGGTCTTTTAATGTTCCATATTCTAAGAGGAGATTTGGCCCACACATAGAAAGAACAGTCTGATTCAGAGATGAGGAGAAATAAGACTTTAGAAGAGAGAAGACCCAATTGGTTGCAAACTCTTCCACTAGACCACATAGGGGCAATATTTATTTAATTTTGAGCATGGTACCAAGTGATTACAGCACAGGTGCTTAAGAAATTATTATTGAATACATGAATAGATAAAAAGTGATCTAGCCTGGCCCAGGGAAAAGAAATCATAATTTTGGAGTAAAACAATTAAATCTTTTGAAAACAAGAGGAAAATTCTACCATAAGATCCTGAAGTAAAATAAAGTACAAAAATGTGTCATAATTAGGAGAAGAAGAGACATCACACCTGGAGTTGACTAGGTCTTCTTAGCTGGTTAGTACTAATAAGCAAGAGGTATAAAAGTAAAATGGGCTTTCTGGGAGACTAAAAATCTGGAAGAAGAGGTATTGTCCTGCAAAGCCAGGGTATGATTCTGATTTCTCCCTTTTTAAGTAGAGTGGGGTCTTGCTGATGATGAGTTTGGGTCAAGAACCAAGAGAAAAACAGTTTTTGTAAGAATTCCTTAAATACATGGGTTTGATGGCCAGTGTACATTTTTAAAGAACTACAGATCCAGCAAGGACATACATTTCATGCAGCACATCACCAGCAGCTACAAGACCCCTATTAAGGGCTCTGGCAGCCAAGGGAAGTGACACAAAGATATGCTTCATCTGTTCCCGTCCTGGCTTGTCAAACTCCTTCTTATACAATTATTTATCTTTTGCTAATTAATTGAATATGTTCATTTTGTGTGTAAGACTTCTTCTGTCAATCTTTAACCCCCCTGAAATGGAACTGGCAGACAGATGGTTTCTGAAATGCTATGGTTGGTGTCAGAAGTGGGATTCATAAGCCAAGTCACTACCATTTGGGATTTTTAAAATGGTGTCAGGAAAGCAAGGACTAAAACAGTGAGCTAAAGAAGTGTGATAGGAAACCAGATAGCCTACAACATGAGATCATTGGTTCTCTGAGACAGATGTTTTTGGGGGAGAGTTGCATCAGTGGGATTTACTCACTATTCCTTTATATCCAACCTAATTGAACTTGTATATAACTCTAGAGGAATGGGTTAATGGCAAAGTAGCCCAAGTTACAATTCCCTAGTTTCTACTGTATTATCCAAAAGTAAAATAATTGCATAACCCTCCAAAATTGGAAAATTTCAGAGACAGTGAGGTTCTGAGAAATCCCTACAGTTTGGGCTGTACTGTAGCCCATTGCTCTCCAGCCAGAAACTACTTATTTGACAGGAAAAATTAGAACTAAAATGTTTTCTAATTCTTCCTGTTGCAGTGGTTAAGAAAAAAAAGGGAGGAGGATTAGAAGAAAAAAGTATTAATCTTAATTGTATCCTTACTTGAATATGTATACACAAATCTTTTTTTAAAAAAATATAATATGTTCTCACTCATAAGGTGACCTTGAACAATTATAATGCTATAACAAAGCGATTGGCAGTAGTGAAAACTGTCAGAGGAGGGGGGTGGGACTGGCAGTTGAGGGAAACTGCTAGGAGAGGGAGGCATATCAACAAGGGTACCTGCATGATCAATGTTTGTAACCTAATCCTGAATTGTACCCCACATCTTTATAATAAATAAATAAATAAAAATAAAAATAAATATATAGACGCTTTCAAAGGGAACCGTGAGCCTGAAACTCCATGACTTTGGAACTGGCTAATTGCATTAAGTTTTCACTGGATAAGGCTTTAGAAATTCATTTACTCTTGAAAAAATTATCTTCTCGATACAAAATTTAACATTCTTAATTGAGAAATAAAATTTCAATTGATAAAAGTATAATAACTTCTGTGTCTCAGACATTATTTTAGGAGAAGGTGACCTGACTGGATTGGAGTCAATTAAAATATAACAGTATGAGGCTGGCAACATGCCTGACATCTTGAAAGCTATAAGTCTTTGGAAACAAAGTTTTACTTTCTTAGGTTGTGTAGAAATTGGGCTTCAGAGTAGCTTCAGGGTGGGAGGGCAGTTGGATCCCTCTTTCATTATTTAGTAAAATAATAAAAGACAAAGCATCGTGGTAGGTTAAATACTATTGTCGAAACTGGTGAGATGTTAAAAAGGCAGTATTTAGGAAACAGAAAATTTGTTGCATTGGAGGAGAGAAAGTATCAGAGTTAGTAGGCAAGCTCCTGGATTTAAAGCCAACTTGAACAGGGCAGGCTGGAAAGAAACAAGAATGTGGGATCAGCATAATGCTAAGAGCCAGCACAATAAGGATCCTCATCTGAAATAAGCCAAAGGTTGCTGACAGGGTGCATGATCTGAATCAGGGACCAGTAACCATCCTTTTAAGTGACAAGGAAATGGCATGGGGAGCAATGTCACAAAATATGAAGCAGTTAATGATTCTGAAGCAATGAAGTTCTTATGGATTGTCAGGAACTATCCTGAAATATATTACTTACGACATGAGGTAAACTACAAAGAAACATTGGAAATCATGGTCCTTGGACTTTATAAACTGAAGGGTAGTTAATCAGAGCTGGGGGTGGGCTGTGGAGAAATGGGTTTTTGAAATGCTGGAAATCTGAAGGTAAAAATTTTGTTCAGGAACACTGACCATTTTCTTAACCCAGATGAAGAGGTGGTTTTGCAGATGCTGCATTTGGTTTAAGAGCCAGGAATGCATGTTCTTCCTTTAACTGATATAAACACATATACATTTATGTAGATGCATACTGTATGCATCGCATTGTATCTTTTTGTCTGCTTTGCAATGAAAGGAGGGTAAAAGAGCCAGGACAGCAGGCCCAGCATCAATGCCGAGAAGGCCTTACTGAGCCAATCCTCACTGTATCAGCTTTCTTTCTCATTTCTATGACCTAGTTCATTTGACCTTGGGACAAGTCTCCACCTTTGAACTCTGATTCCAGGGGAATTTACTAGAAATACCAAAGTGCAAGGAATCTCTTACCAGATGCCAAGAGATCATTGATGAGTACAAGGAACCTTTCATCTGCCACTTGGGCATCAGTCATGAGAAACACTGTGCTGAGATTCTTCACTCCGGCTTTCAGACACAGGTTGGCCAGGTCCATCTGTAGGAACAACTAATATCAGGGATCTTGGAGAAGAAGACCTCCTTGAAAGAGACTCTCAACTCACTCTTTAGGAATGGAACTGTTTTCTTATCTGGTTTAATGGGAAATAAACCAAGGTGATGAAGGCAGGGAGGAGTGCTACCTTGCACTGACAGACAGAAACTATGCTTCATCTCTTGGCCTCAGTGCCAGTAGAGGTGGGCAGGTAAAACTACAGAGTAATGACCTTGAATTCATACAACCACAGAGCTCCTGCTTTTTGCAAATACCAGAGTTGGTCCCTGTTCATCTGTTTTATTTATGTCCCTATACAAGTGAATGACTGCTCCAGAAGGCAGGAGATTGTTCTTGATCTTGACTGAAGAGTCATGAACTTGGGCCAGGCATGGTAGCTCACGTCTGTAATCCCAGCACTTTGGGAGGCTGAAGCAGTAAGATTGCTTAAGACTAAGAGTTTGAGACTAGCCTGGCCAACATAGCAAGACCTGGTCTCTACAAAAAATTTAAAAATATCAGCTGGGCATGGTGGCATGCACCTGCAGGCCCAGCTACTTGGGAGGCTGAGGAGGGAGGATTGCTTGAGATCAGGAGTTCAAGGCTGCAGTGAGTCATGATCATGTCACTATATTCCAGTCTAGGCAACAGAATGAGATTCCGATGCATTAAAAAAAAAGAAAAAAGTCACGTACTTGAAGCTACTGGCCTGAGGCATGAATATATCTTATGCTAGCAGTGTTCTATTTTTATTTTTTTATTTTTTTTGTGTTGGAGTCTCATTCTGTCGCCCAGACTGGAGTGCAGTGGCCGCTCCCAGCCACCGCAGCCTCGACCTGCTGGGCTCCGGTGATCCTTCTGCCTCAGCCTTCCAAGGAGCTGGAACTACAGGTGCGCGCTACCATGCCCAGCTGATTTTTTATTTATTATAGAGATGAGGGCTCACCAAGTTGCCCAGGTGGGTCTCGAACCCACGGGCTCAGGCAATCCACTCACCTCAGCCTCCCAAAGGCGCAGGTTTACAGGCTGAGCCACCGAGCCTGGCTGCTAGCAGTGTTTTGTGTTCTTATAAATAGATCCAGCAAAAGACTTTTGTTGAAAAATATACTGGTGATCTCTCATTCTCTCTCTCTCTCTCTCTCTCTCTCTCTCTCTCTCTCTCTCTCTCTCTCACACACACAAACACACACACACACTCACCTGCAGGAAATTATATTCATTCAAAACTGCAGACAGATAAAGTTTTGAGCTAGGATATCAATTCCTGAATTTATCCAGCTTGGTCAATCTTGGTCCCTTTGCTGTATCATCTTCACCAGATTTAGCCATCAGTCCCTCATGTTGCTCTTCTCTCTCTTGCACCACTTAGAGCGATTCCCTAACAACCTCACATAGTCCTTTACCACAGAGTTACCTTAGTGTCCAAATAACTCCTCTTTAAAGAAGTAACCTTCCTTTTAGATCAATCATTCTCAACTTCTATAGAATGAACTGAGATAGTTTTTCTCAATTCTCATTGGAATCATCCAGGGGATGCTTTGGAAAAATCCTGATGCCCAGGCCATTCCCCAGACTAGTTAAGTCAGAATATTTGGGGATGGGACACAGGCATCAGCATTATTTGAAGGTCCCTAGTGGTTCCAATATATAGTCAAGGTTGAGACCCATGATCTCAGATCATTCTGTAAATGCATAATTCCTACCACACTATCTCATCTTGTCTTTTAAAAAAGTGTTAAAGAAAGACCTAATGTGATTCAGCCAGTCATTGAGAGGCTGAGCTGTGGCTTCAGAGTAGAAGTAAGCATCTAGCTCTCCCATCACTGGCTGCGAGATTATAAAAGCAGGTGGGTAGGCCAGACTCAGTACTGGCTGGAGTTCTCCCAGGAATGGCATGAGCAGCATCCTCATAGAAATTACACCATGACTTCCTACTGTGACTGTGGCCATGGATAAAAGAGAGGACACTGGACAAAATGACATTTGAAGGTTGTATATGATCTCTCTCTTCACTTTCTAGAGCATGCACTGTGGTTTCTAAGTGCTGGCTGCCTGAAACCAGGAAATGACATTGAAGGTCCCAGGGGCCAGTGGTTACTGAATCTGTGTTTAAAATCTGAATTTCTCATGAAACTTGGGAAGACCTTCAGAATTCCTCCTGCCTACTAGAACTGTCAACAAGCTGTGTGGTCAATTTGATATAGATGTGCCACAGATGTAACTAGGGCAACTGGGGTCTTGCAAAAGTCGATCTTGGAAAGGCCACTGTTTTCAGGCTGAGTCTAGTGAGAAAAGAGGCAGTCACATCACCAGTCCAGAAACTAATAAGAAAATGGATGGATAGTGAAGGGGAGGTACTGGGCAGGGGAAGTGGAGACCTAATAAAGGACGGCAGGGAGTTGTGGCTGGAAAGCAGCTGAGTCCCATTCCCACAGTCACCATCCTTTTACCTTGAAGTCAGGGATCTGGTAGCCTTTGCGCAGTGTGATCTGGAACACATCCATGGAGCTGATGAAAGCCGCGAGTCTTGTCAGGCTCTGCTTGCCACTCCCACCTACACCAACCAGCAGCGCATTGCCCCGTGGTGACTCTAAGATACGATTGATATGGCAGCTAGAGAGAAAGAATCAGAGGCACGATCAGACTTTCTGCTGTGAGAAGCATATATAATGATCTGAGTGGAAACAGGAGCTTTCCTTGGAGGCACATCATATACTGAGCTGTGGGAAACTCTAGTTAGATTGTCCCCAAGTCTAGCCTCACCTTCTTGCTCTAGTGGAGAGAAGTTACCACTGCTTTGCCTTAAACCACAGCCTCTAGTGAACCAGGGACAGTGAGGAGAGGCAGGCAGGCAGGCTCAGAGGGGTTGAGTCATGTGGTCGGGAAGGAAACTAGGATTGTCTTTTTCTTCTCCTTGGCCACGCCTGATTCTGCCACACCTCTCACTTCACTTCTTTTGAGCAATAGTAGGAAGCTGTTCCTTTTCGGAAAGATGAGGATAAAAACTAAAGTCAGCAGGATACGAAAAAGGAGCCATGACATAGTTTTTCTCTCTCCCTCCTTCAATTCTTCCTGCCCTTGTAACGAATGTTAGTGGATTCTTGTCAACATACAAGGCATCCACATCCTTGGCTTCTAGATTCTTCCCTTGACAGCCTTACGTCTCACCACTCTCACTACCCATATTCCCCTACCCTTCTACCCCAGCAATGGAGAAATGGAGGCTTCAGTCCTCCAGAGGAAACCACTCCTCCTGCCTCCTCCAGCCCTTCCTCAAAGCCACCCTCCCATCAGCCTTTCCTCCAGGGTTCGCTGCTAATCTTTTATTTTACCCCCTCAGTAGTATATATATACTTTATGTAAGACACTACATCCTTTATAAAAATAACCCCTATGTGCCTTTCTTTTCTCATCTGAAAAACAATCACTGTATATTGTACAAAATGCATACAATACAAAAAAACCCACAATTCTACTTTCTAGAAATAAATACTACTAACATCAATTATATGTCCTTTCAGACTTTTTTCTAGTGTCTGTCTGTATGTCTTAAAGTAGATATTTATTTATATATATATATCTATTACACCTGAAGTCAATATATTTCTTTTTTTTAATTTTTAATTTTAAAGATGTGGGGTACAAGAATTCAGGTGAAGTTTGTCCAAATAGAGCAGAGGTTACATTTGAGATTGAATCACATAGGCTATAATCCTTCATCCCTGTCCTGTGTTAATGATATTATAATCAGAAGTGCTAAACTAAGAAAGGTGGAACAGCATAAAGTTTAGCTAACCCCAGTTTGGAGAAAGGTGTGGGCAGGGGTTTCACAGCTAGGGTTTGGCATGTTAACAAAATATGAGTGTGTGTCAAGTTATAGGGCTGTGTCACGCTTCTGTGGTTTGAACTTTCTTATTTATAGCATGTACTGATGACATGGTCATAATTAGTGTAAATAAACTAAGTGTCTGTGGGTCCTCATTGTCTCATCTCTCCTCTGGGATGTGTTTGCTGTCAGAAAGGAACCCCTAGCAGAAGCGTATGTGGGTCATCAACTCCCACTAGCAGTGTGTGGGAGAGTCTGGCCCCCAACCCTCGCTGACACTGGGTCTTATATCTAGTTTTAAATCTTTGCCAATTTAATGGTTGACAATATTACTGTTTCAATTTTTATTTCTTTGATTTCTAGGAAACTGAACACTTTTCATGCTTATTAATCAATTTATGTTTTCACTTTTGTGAATTTTCTGATCATGTCCATTGGCTACTTTTCCATTGAAGTGTTCTAGATTTGTAAGACCCCTTTCTGTATGTTTTGAATTGTCCTTCCATTTGTCACATTTACCTTTTAGTTTTGTTTTAAGATGCACAGAAAATTTTAGGACTCAAAATTGTATGCAACTAACTGCTAAATTTTATGTAGCTAAAATTTATTCAGGAGTTATTTATTGACTTACATTGAGTTCTTTTATGATTTTATTTTTTTACTTTAATTATTTAAATTGTGATACTTATCCTCTGCCTTATATCAGATAGATGCAAACTTCTCTTACTCTCTTATTAAACCATAATTCCTAGATGTCTGCAGAGTACGTACACTCATTTTGTATTCTCTGCTAGTACATTGAAGGTATCAAATACATTTTTGTTGAACTTTAACAGAACCATTCAGGCTTATATTCAGCACCACATTATTCCTCTTTCTGGGTCCAAGGGATCATCTGCTTTGTGACTACATTAGATGGTGCCTGATGAAAGGGGAAACTATGGTACTAAGGTATTCAGGCCCTCTCTCCTGACTCAGAAAAGGTGGGGAGGAACGTATGAGTGGAGGAAAGAGGCAAGACCGGAGGAGGAGTTAGAGTCCAAGCGAGTCCTCCAGGTTATCCAACCCCCCAACTCTGTTCTGGAAGGCCTGAACTCAGCTTAGCATAGCCCATGTTATTCAATATCT